TCAGCCTGGTTTAAGTCAATCCAGTTCTAAAAGATGTTCCACTGATTTAATTCATGTGCAGGGAAATAAAGCCCCACACGTCTAGTCAAGCTTAAAAAACATTAAATTTTGGATATTAAGTTTTAGGTAAACAAGATATTCCCCAGCCCAGCAATTCCATCTCAAGATGGTTCTGCTTATGACAGAGCTCCTCAAAAAAATTATTTTTAATGAGGGACAAAATGTTTAAAGAAGGAAGGGCAGCACCCCTTTGAAAAACTTAGGTTGCCCACTAATTTCTCCAAGAACCCAATAATTTGGTGAAGGATAAAATCCAGATTTCCATATCCCCAAAAATCACACCTGATATATCAATCCTGTCCATCTACTTTTTGGTCACATTAGCTTAGACTTTTTTTTTTAAATCAGAATTTTCAACGAAGAAAAGATCACAAATCTCACAGCCTCAATGTGACGGGAATTTTGACACCTCAGAAAATAAAGACTTGCCCAGAAATATTCCATCAGAAAGGTGGAGGAAATTTTTGTGCRTTTTTCCCCAGCAGAGCTGAGCAAGGAGCAGGGATTTGGACTCTGCTGAAAAATTTCTGCCTTCCTGAAAGGGCCCGGCCACGCTCTGTGGCTCCCTGACAAAAGCGGGTRCTTTGCTCATTAGCAAGTGAAACGCTGTTAATTCTCATTAGCTAATTAAACAATTTCCTCTCCTCTAATCACCCTGCCCACAAACAGGTGAGTGCAGGCAGGGCACGGGCTGCTAAACATCCCCTTAATTGCTCGGGGCTAATTTAGCACGGGATTAATGTGGTCGAGATTAAAGTGGTCAAGCCCTGCTGCCTGATTCCAGGTCTCCTATTGTTTCTCGAAAAAGGATTTGCAAAAACAGCTCCCACGATGGCTCAGAGTGGAAAATTTCTTTCCATTCTCCAGCTCAGCTCCTGAAGGTTGGAAGAACGTGCACTGCTCTTCCTGTGGTGGTTTTCTTTCTCCTTCCAAAAAGGCTCAAATAAGAAGCTAATCTTGATTTTTAAAAAGCAATTCCTCTCTTTGTTGCCCCAAATCCTCTGTGACATTAAAGAAGAATGTGGGATATTATTTAAAGTCATAAATACAGAGTTGGGTTTGAGGGAAAGCAATAGAAGTGAAACTCAGTGGAAATACAAGTTGCTGAATGAGAGAGGAGAGAAAAGGAGAGAGATAGCAAAGGTTTGTGAACCAGAAATACCCACAGCTCTGGAAATAAACRTTTGCCAAGAGTTCAAGGCATTATCAGCTCATTTCTTGAACTTCTTTCATAGTGAGAGCAGCTCTTACAACCATTGCCTGGAGACACTGGGCTGCCACTAAGCGTTACAGCGAGTTCCTGAAGAGAACTTGGCCAAACAGTCACAAAAATCTTGGTTTTCCATTTGAACGAGCAGAGAATGGGCTCAGCCTAAAGCTGGGAAGATTTCTGAAAGATGCTACAGCACAAATTTCATTCAGTTCATTAATTTCTTCCCTGCAGCCACAGAGAGGTAAAAGGGCAGGGACCGAATGTTTTACTGAGAAACGGAGCCACAAACATCACAAATGCACTGTCCCTGTGCCAGGGCCCTGCCCCCCATGGGATTCATTCCCTGGAATTTGGGAGGAGAAGGAAAAYGGAACTTACGAGAAGGCAAAGGCCACCAAGGCCCCACTGACCACAATGAAGTCCAGGATATTCCACAGGTCACGGAAATAGGAGCCGGGGTGGAGGAGCAGCCCCAGGTCGATCATCTGCAAAGAAAACATGGGAAAAAGGAGAGTTTTAATAAAACATGGCCCAAATCCACYCTGCTGAGGGGCAGGGGAAGAAAGAGCTCTTTTCTGAGAAGCATTTCTGGATCAAAGGATCCTTCACAAACATGGAGATACCCAGCCAAGCTGCTCCGCTCTAAGGCAAGAAAAGCTCCCAAAATTGAAGCTCAAACCAATGAACCACCACCAAAAGCTACAGAAACAAGAGCTCTCACTGCTCCCTGGGATTCTTCCCCCACACAGGCATTAATCCCATTTTTATTTTGCAGCTGTTTTGCCTCTTGCTCTGACAGAAAACCCCAACTCCTGCCTTATCCCAACACTGAATCCTGACTTTATGGAATTGGGTTTTCTGGGAAGTTACTTCCCTTAGCAAAACCTGTCACCCTACTGAGAAAAAAGATAAATTCTCAGCTTTTTGAAACATGACAAACCAAGATTCAGTGTTGTTAATATTCCTGATCAGTGTAAAAGGAAAAGGGAAGAATCTGGAGTGTTTCAGCAAGGTCTGTCAGCTCTTCAGCCACACACCCCTCTTACACAGCCACAGCTCCTAAACATATCCTGATTTTCCTCCACAAAACATGAAAAAGTTAAAAAAATTARTTCCTCCATTAAAAAAATCAGGAGAGCTGCTGCATCTGATTCTGAGAGCTGTTCACGACTTCAAGCTCTCCATCCTTCCCACCTCTGTCCCACTCCACCCTTTCTCCAGCTTCCCACAAATCAATCTGGAAGAGGAGGTGACTCTTTGCTTGGAGAAATTCTTACCTTGATCACCATCTCAAAGGTGAAGACTCCTGTGAATATATAATCCAGGTATTTCAGAGCCTAAATGGGAAAGGAAAATGTGTGTTAGGGAAGGCCACATTCTGGAATAACCTGCACAGGGGCAAGGAGAAAAACATCAAATCTAGCAATGGTCTGCTTGGTGTGATGAACAAATATCAGCTGATGGGAGTGTTTCAGATAATTCAGGCACAAAGCTGATTTAAAAAGCAGCAGTTCCCCCAGTCCTTGCCAGTCTGCACCCATGGGTGSCTTCAGAGCACCTGCATTTCTGGCCTTYGAYWGGGCAAAAGAKGGATTTCACAAGGAAATGTTTGAACACCATTTCCTGARGAGTTYATTCACCAGCCTTCCCCACTGCAGAATGGYRTGTCAGCTTTGGGAGCTCCTCCATYSAAGMCACATCAGCCACACAATCTGTGATTCCCAARTTCTCCAACTCAAAAGTGGTTGAAACAGCAGAAAGGGACAGGMATTGTGAGCACTTTGATAGTGAAACACAGTTCATTTGTGTGTGTTATCAAACAAAGCTCTGATTTTGTTTTGCCCGTGCAGCGCATCACCCTGAGGAGACGGAAGCGGACGTGCCACGTGCTGGGAGATGAAAAGCACCCTAACTCTGGGAATTCTGGGTGGGACTCACATCATTCCTGGGTGACTCAGCCTGGACTGGGTCCTCTGCAGCCAGGGCAATGCTGCTGAGGGCGATGACAATCAGGATCACCATCTCGAAGTAGCGCAGGTTGACGATGTAGTGGAAGAGGCGCCGGATCCTGCGGGGACAGGAGCACAGGGTCACAGGGATGGGAGGGGTGGAAAACCAACACAAATCCAGCAGGAACAGCCCCTTTGGGATTCCTATTGGAATGATGGGATGAAAATAAAAATCAGGCTCTAAATTCTGGTTTGCAGCAGATCTGTGGTGAGATTTAAATAAGGGAGTTCAATATCTCAGTGCTGCTCTCTACCCCCTCTGCAAAGCAATATCTATTTATCTCTCTATATATTTATCTATCTCTTTATCTATTTATCTCTTTATATACTTATCTATTTATATATATTTATCAATTTATCTCTATCTCTCTATCTTTATTTATCCATCTCTATTAATCTCTTTATCTATTTATCTCTATTTTTTAGCTATTTTCCTATTTATCTCTGTATTTCTCTCTATCTCTCTATTTATATATCTCTTTATCTCTATCTATTTATCTATTTATTTATTTTTCATATCTATCCATCTCTGTTTATCTATCTCTCGATCTTTTTATCTATCTCTATATTTATCTATCTATTTATCTATTTATCTCTTTATCTCTTTAGCCATTTATCTCCCAATCTATTTATTTCTCTATCCATTTATCTCTCTCCCCATCTGTCAAAAGAGCACCGAGWGCTTTCAAGCACCCAGACTCAATTCTACAAATTACATTTATGGCGCTCCCCGCCTCCTCCCTCTGAACTCCTGGGTTAACACCCTGAGAGCTCCAAACAAGGTCTGAAATCCTTTTAATGTCAAGTAATCCCTTTAAAATGTTGAGAGTCTCAGCTGAATTGGCCTTTGTGGCTCTGAGTGTTCCTCCCACCCATCTCATCCCGCCTGCCCTTCAGTCCAAGTATTTTTCCAGCACAAATACTTCACAGGGACAGATTTGATTACTTCCCCCTAATCTTTTTATTCACAAATCRTGTCCAAGGAGAGTGGTAAATGCTCCCGTTCCTCAGCAATCCGAAACTCTTCGCAAATTTCAGCCGACAATTCCTTCTGCCCACAATTCCCCAATCCCTAACTGCACGCAGAGCTCTGCATTTGCACCACGTTTGTCAGCTGAATGAAGGACTTAGCCCAAGAATCAAATTACAGATTTAACTCGCCAACAACTTTGTAATCTGAGAATGCGTTTCAGCTCCTCGATCCCATTTTCTCTAAGCAAGTATCTCAACAGCAAGCATTAAAGTCTATTTTTCATGTCTGCTTACACATCCCTTTTCTTGGCTTGCTAATGGATTCAGAATGGCAAAGAGCTACAAATACCAGSGAAGCAAATTTGACAGAAAAGAACCTGAAGAAAAGTGCTTTTGTGGTTCCCCTAACTCCAGTTCTCAATCTGCCAGGAGGAGACAATCATTCCCGTGCTCTGTGAAGCCATGGAAGCGAAAGGCAGCATTCCCAACAATTGCAGCTTTAATTCCTGCATCAAACTCAATCCATCAATGCAATAACCAGCCCCTATTTTTAGCTCCCCATCATTCATAACCAGCAGTGAGATSTGGGAGCGTTTGTGAGCTGCCAGTGGGGCTGGAGGAACCACAGCCCTGAGTGCTGTGAGAGAGTGGTGGCACTCAGAGAAATCCATTTCATTTCTGCTTCCCTGAGCTGTSCTCCCCTCCGGCAGCACCGGGGTCATGGAGCCCCAGGAGGGTTTGGGAGGGAGATGGCAGCACTGAGGGGGGAAAAGCTTCCTGCCCCAGAAAGAGCTCTCTGGAGAAGCCAGAACAGCTGGGGCTGTGTCTTGCCCTGAGGAAGAAAAACAAATGCTGACATCCATGGAGTTTGGTCTTTGTCTTGTTATTCCCCCTTGGCTTGGTTGTAACACGTTTTTTCTCACAGTGAACTTGGTTTTTCCACTGAGGTTTTTTTTTGGGGGGGAAGGTGTAAGCTGGAGAAAACGGCAAAGAGGAGAGAGAGGAGAGGAGAGGAGAGGAGAGGAGAGGAGAGGAGAGGAGAGGAGAAGCAGACATAGCAAACAGTTTTGCTGCTTCTCTGCCTGCCCAGCCCAGCCCCCAGCTCAGACCCCTGGGCTCAGCACCTCTCACTCCCCACCCAGCCATGCTGCCTTGGCAGATCCTTCCCAGCTCATTTTTTGGGGTCACTCCTCAACAACTTTTAGGGAAACACCGTTTGCTTATCCAGCCAGACAGAGGCCAAGCTCCATTATCCCAATCTGGCTCCCCAGGGAATGGTCCCGGCCCCGAGGCTGCCAGAGCTCCAGGAGCGTTTGGACAGCGCTGCCAGGGATGGACAGGGTGGGGCTGTTGGGGGGTCTGGGCAGGGACAGGGGCTGGATCAATGATCCTGGTGGGTCCCTCCAGCTCAAGAGATTCTGGGATTTCAGGATTCTGGGATTTCAGGATTCTGTTGCATCCACCACAGGCACTTTTCTGATGTCAAATATGAGAACACAGAGCCCGTTTCGTTCCATGCACAGGATGTCACAGTCCTCAGCAGCAGAAGGTGCAGGAGGATTCATCTTTCTCTGAAATCCAGCTGCCAAAAAAAAGGCCTGAATTCCCTCTGGGATCTGGGCAGAGAGAAACTCTAAACCTACAAGTTTACCCRAGCCAGAGAGAAACCTCTGCTCCGAGGGGATCTCCAGAAGTTTCCAATGCCATTCCTTGCCCTTACTACTTTAAACGACTCACAGCCCTTCATGCCACAATTACCACAATCCCTTCTCCCCTCAGCCCTGCAGCCCCCCAGAGCAGAAATTCAGCATTTTCWGGCTTTGAGCCCAAAGTTCTCCAGGCAGCAGCACTGTTTGAAGGGGAAGAAATGCCCTAATCCCAGCAGATCCCACAGGCTGCACTCCCAGCCTTGGCAAATAAAAAATATTCYGGTTTTCCCAGAAGTTCAGAGTTTGCAGTGATGCAAAGCCACTTGTGTGGAATAAACAGGGATTCCTCAGGAACCTGCAGGAAATTGCTGCCAKCAAAAACAGCCCCCAACCTGTAGCTCCTGATGCAATCTTTGGGATCTCCATCAGCAGGGTCTGCCTACAGCGTTATCTTTTCCCAGTAATTCATTCCCCCAGGAAAACCCAGCTGAACAGCAGCACCTGGCCCTCACAAATAACCTTTTATTTCATGTCCCAGTGTGTTTGACTGGCAGAGATGAAAATCCCATTCATGTTATTCATTTGAAGCACCTGGAACCCATAACTGGCACCAGAGGAACTCACGGATTTGTGGGGCTGAGGATGAACATGGAACTGTAAGGCAGGATTGGTTTAGGCCCGTTTTTCGTCAAGTCATCGACGTCTTTCTTCTCCTCTGTCTTGCTGTCAAACTCCACGTTGTTCACTGGGAACAGGGAATTCAGGGAGAACACAAAGGAGAGGGTTAAACAGGGATCCACAGCCTGGAGCAGCTGGAAATGSAGCTGGGAGAGCAAACAGCTCTGGAAATGTTGATTAAATGGGATGAACAATCATTGGGTTATTATCACCCCGGAGTGAGACTGCTCTGCCCCTCAGTGCTGCTGGAACAGCCAGGAAATGGAGCTGCTCACTGCACACAAAGAAACCATGAGCTGGTTTATCCCAGAGCTGCCAAACTGGGGCTGGAAAATCCATCCCAAAGAGGACAAACTCCTAGGGAGAGGGATCAGCTCAGGATACTTGAAAGAAATGAGCRAAGAAGTTTGATCAGCCTCATAATTCAGTGTTTTGTCCCATGAATCAGGAGAACAATTGGCTTTGGAACATACAGAAGAACAAATTCATGGATGAGGTTTCATAATTTGGGGGCTGAGGCTGATGAACTTCCCAAAATTAGGAAAAGAAACCTGGGAAAAACTTCATGGACCCCACTGAGCTGTGCCTGCACTGAGCACCTTGGTTCAGTCAGAGCTCCCTATATGCAAAGCTGCAGAGCTCCATCCTGCAGTGAGTTTTAAAATCATCCCTTTCTCTAAGACARTCCAAACTTCCCTTCCAAAGGCTGGGAATTCTCCAGTTTTTATCCTAACTTCACCTGCAGAGCRTTTATGGGATAATTTACCAAAGATAATTTCCCATCTGTGAACTGGGTGACATTTTATCCTGCAAATTCTCTTCTTCAACACACATAAAAGCTCTTCCATTAATTCCCAGGACCTGAAGTCCAAAAACCCCACCCATTCTGAACGCGTTCAGTGCAGAGCTTTTATTACTTTTGATTTTATTTTGCAAAGAAAATGACATTTCATTGTGTTTGAGTGACATGTTCAATAAACTCCTTATTGGATCTCCAGGCAGATGCAGAGGAAAYGGCCAGGAAAGGGAGAGGCTGATAAATTGTGATTGACAGGAACTCAGCACTGCAATATAGGAAAATTACCATTTCAGAAGGGGGAAAATAAGGAGAAAGGAGAAGAAAAAAAATCAAAAAGAAAAGATAGATCTTGTGGCTGACAACAGAGTGAAAAAGCACAGATTTTGCCAGATTTTAGTTGTGTCATTTGGAAAGCAGAGTCCTGACAGCCTGGAGTCCAATGTGGGATTTCACACCGGGATTGTCCTCAGCTCTCCAGGCTGTCCCCACCCAGCCATGGATCAGCCTGGGCAYGAGGATCCTGGGAACATCTGGAAATTTGTGCTGAAGGATCCAAGAGCTCTGGAGCAGGACAGGGAGGGTGGATCCACTCCAGTGGGATGGAGAGGATTGTAAAAAGCTCAGGAATGACACAGGAATGCAAAGCTGCAGGATCACAGATGGATGTGGCTCTCCTTGCTCCTCCAGCTTTCCCTTACACACAGGATGTACTCTGGGTGAGYCAACCCCAGGGAATCTCAGGAGTTTTCCAGAAACACCAGGAACCCTTGCTGAGTTCCTGCAGCTTGTGGGAATTRCAGATCCTCCATCAACGAGTTCCCTCTCTACCCCTCGTGAGGAAAGCAGCCCCATCACTCCCTGGACATTTCCATTTCCCAGCAAGAAAAGCAGGGAGACAAAGGAGTGGGAAATACAGATCTTCTACCAATGAGTTCCCTTTCTGCCCCTCATAAGGATGGCAGCCCCCATCAATCCTTGGAAATTTCCATTTCCTGGCCAATTTCCCAGCAGGAAAAACAGGGAGACAAAGGAGTGGGAAATACAGATCTTCTACCAATGAGTTCCCTTTCTGCCTTCGTAAGGATGGCAGCCCCCATCAATCCTTGGAAACTTCCATTTCCTGGTCATTTCCCAGCAGAAAAAACAGGGAGACAAAGGAATGGGAATTACAGATCTTCTACCAATGAGTTCCCTCTCTGCCCCTCATGAGGAAAGCAGCCCCCAACACTCCTTGGAAATCTCCATTTCCTGGCCAGTTTCCCAGCAGGAAAAGCAGGGAGACGAAGGCACTCACTTGGTATGACGGTGGTTTCCCCCGGGGGGGCAGTGATGGTGACAGGGATGTTCACAGKGGTGGTTTTGTCCAGCGGGGGCTGGATCATCCTCGTCACGTTCTTCTGGTTGTCAGCATCCTCCGGCTGCTCGGGCACCTTCTGCAGGTACGTGCTGGGCAGGGTGTGCACGGGGACACTCACAGGGACACTCACAGGGACACTCACGCTGCCACTGGCCTCCAGCTCACACTGGTTCTCCCTGGGAAAAGCAGGATTTGTTACATTTGGCCCAGGAAGGGTTCAGGGATGCATCCCTGACACTGCGCCTCATGCTGGGATTGTTTCCTCCATGGAAATCCTCTGCAGGACAACCCCCAGATGGCAAAATTCGGGTCTTTTTCCTCTGGCACCTCCCAAGCCAACTCAAATCACAACATTGAGAGGAGACTGTGGCACTGAACANCAGGGAGACAAAGGAGTGGGAAATACAGATCTTCTACCAATGAGTTCCCTTTCTGCCTTCGTAAGGATGGCAGCCCCCATCAATCCTTGGAAACTTCCATTTCCTGGTCATTTCCCAGCAGAAAAAACAGGGAGACAAAGGAATGGGAAATACAGATCTTCTACCAATGAGTTCCCTCTCTGCCCCTCATAAGGATGGCAGCCCCCATCACTCCTTGGAAATTTCCATTTCCCAGTAGGTAAAGCAGGGAGACAAAGGTGTGCGAATTACAAATCCTCTACCAATGAGTTCCCTCTCTGCCCCTCGTGAGGAAAGCAGCCCCATCACTCCTTGGAAATCTCCATTTCCTGGCCAATTTCCCAGCAGGAAAAGCAGGGAGACGAAGGCACTCACTTGGTATGACGGTGGTTTCCCCCGGGGGGGCAGTGATGGTGACAGGGATGTTCACAGTGGTGGTTTTGTCCAGCGGGGGCTGGATCATCCTCGTCACGTTCTTCTGGTTGTCAGCATCCTCCGGCTGCTCGGGCACCTTCTGCAGGTACGTGCTGGGCAGGGTGTGCACGGGGACACTCACAGGGACACTCACAGGGACACTCACGCTGCCACTGGCCTCCAGCTCACACTGGTTCTCCCTGGGAAAAGCAGGATTTGTTACATTTGGCCCAGGAAGGGTTCAGGGATGCATCCCTGACACTGCGCCTCATGCTGGGATTGTTTCCTCCATGGAAATCCTCTGCAGGACAACCCCCAGATGGCAAAATTCGGGTCTTTTTCCTCTGGCACCTCCCAAGCCAACTCAAATCACAACATTGAGAGGAGACTGTGGCACTGAACAKCCCTTGGCTCATTTAWTGATGTCCCCAAACCAGGCCYACGTGGCAYYTGCACATCCCARCTCCAGGAGCCATCCCCAGCACCGRCTGCTGAATGAATGGATCCTGACATTCCGCTCCCTAACGTTCTCCCCAGGCCTTATTTAACCGTGGTGATTCTCTTTTCCAGCTCAGAACCACTCTGCACGGTGACTGTCAGCARCTAAACAGCTCCAGCCCTTCCCTGCAGCATCTCCAGTGAGGAGGAGAGCGAGCCYGTGCACACGAGCAGCAGGCAGAGTGTTTGGAAATTCAGCTGAAAGGAAGATAATTTAGACAGGAAAATTATTATCTCAGCGCCACTCACAGCCCTCCACGGCGACACAAGCTCCATTCTAAAGAATCCCAGTGCGATTTCTTTTCCATCAGACTAATAAAGCTGAAAAGGCAATCTATCCTTCTTTATTAACTACTGCAAATGCTTCGCCGGGGCTGCTTTCCTCACTTGACTTGGGTAAGGATTAAAGCAAACGGGGGACAGCGCTGTCCTTAATGGAAGGGCCATGTGCTGGAACGACTGGTGGCACAGCTGAAGGGTCCCCGTTAAAAATGAAAATCAAAGGGCTGCGAGAGAGGCCAGATGAAATTTAAAAAGATGTCCCTCAGGAGCTTCCTTGGGGAGCYGGGAAATTCTCTGCTCCACTTGGTGCCCTACAGGGTGTGGCGGTGTTTACAGCAAGGATGGTCCCTGCTCTAAACCTGAGCTGTTCTATGGGRGAAAATGGTATTTGGGAGCCTCTGTCACTGCTGATTCAGGGCAAACAGAGCTRCAGGTTGGGGTGGAAGCTGCTGTGGGGACAAAGACAGCAAGGAATGACAGCGGGAGGGGGATAAAGGTTTTCCTGGGATACCTCAGGGGTTCTGTGACCCCTGAACCGAGCCGGGGCAGGTCCGGCAGCGCTCACTCACTTGGGCTGGTGGTTGCGGTGCTCCTTCTCTCCGGCCTCGCCCTCCTTCTCGCCGTTGTCCTTCTCCACGGACTCGTAGGTGGACAGCGCCCTGTTGCGGAGCCGGTGCCGCCGGTGGGGCTCCTCAACGTTGTCCCCCTTGGTGCCAGTCTCTCCATCCCTGTTCCCGGAGCGGGATCCTCCGCGGTGCCGGGAGCGCCGCTCTCCCCGCCCGCCGTTGGCCGCGCCGTTGCCCTCCTTGCCCGGCCGGTCGCTCGAGTGCCGGTGGCTCCGGTGCCTCCGGTGCTCCTTTTCTGCCCCTTCCTCCACCGAGCCCCGCCGGTGGTGCCTCTTTCCCCCTTCCTGCCCCCTGTTCCGCTCACTCTTGCCCTCCTTGCCGCCCCCTTCCACGTCCTTGCTGCGGCTGCGGTGCTGCCGGTGCCGCTCCTCCTTGGTGCTGACCCCGGGCTCTCCGTTCTCATCCTTGGCCGCGTCGCCCTTCTCCTGCTCTCCCGACGCTTTCTCCTTCTCCCGATGCCGGTGGTGCTTCCGCGGCGCTTCCGCCCCGTCGGCCGGGCTGACTTTGGGGTGCTCCACCACCTCGTGGGCATCACCAGGGCTCAGCTTGGCCATGTTGTTCCTGCCCTCGCTGCGGGGCTCCACCACCAGCGGCCGGTCCAGGTGTGTTTTCATGTCGGGACGGATGTGCAGGGTGGTGGCATAGCGCACCCGCTCCTCGGGGTCCAGCTCGTTGTACAGCGCCTCGCAGCTGGCTCGGAAGTTGTGCATCCGGATCTGGCTCGTCCTCTGCTCCCAAACCGACTTGGATTTGGAGGAATTCTGCTGCTTGCTAAGGGCGGGAGAAACGCGACAAGTCAGCGTCTGAATGTGCGCCGGTTCCCCAAATACCGGCCAAAAAATAAAAAAAAAAAAGAGGGAATTTTCAGCCGAGGAGGGGGGACATTGAACCGAAGGAATAACGGGGATGGAGAGAATGGCTGGCGGAGAACATGAGCAGGGAAAGCCAGCGGGATCATCCGTGTTAGTTTTGCCCCCACGAGCGGCAGGTGCTATGAGATCGGCCCTCTGGAAAGGAGTTATTCCGTATTTTATAAATGTGGAAGCCTCGGGAACGGCGTGAGGGATTAAAACATCGGCACACAAAAACCACACACCCCAGGCAGAGCTTTGGCACAGCCCACAAAGCTTCCCAAAATCGGCAGCGTTTTTCTCCCCACCTGGAAAGGTCTGGATGAGGAAAGGAGCGGGGAGCAAGAGAAGTTAGATCAGCAGGAGGAGCAGGGGAAAAGAAACCTGTTCCTGACGATCCGAGCCTGCCACGGGCCCCTTCCCCTCCCAGCCGGCCCCAGGGGGTGTTTTCCAGCTGTGCTGCCCCGCAGGACCCTCAAGGTCTAAAACTGCGCCAAACCCAGAGCATCCTACTGGGTGAGAAGACGGACCAGCCAACCCACACACCACTGCAAGGAAGGGAGGAAAACTGTCCTGTGCACCAGGAAAGGAGCCCAGAGAGTGGGAGAGTCACACACGGATCCGTGAAACCATCCTGAGCTAGAAGGGATCCCCAAGGATGATCGAATCCAACCCCTGTCCCTGCCCAGACCCCCCAACAGCCCCACCCTGTCCATCCCTGGCAGCGCTGTCCAAACGCTCCTGGAGCTCTGGCAGCCTCGGGGCCGAGACCATTCCCTGGGGAGCCTGGGCAGTGCCAGCACCCTCTGGGGACACAAGAACCTTTCCCTGCTCTCCAGCCTGAGCCTGCCCTGGCCCAGCTCCAGCCGTTCCCTGGCTCCTGTCCCTGTCCCAGAGCAGAGATCRGAGCTGCCCSTCGGGAGGAGCTGCAGCCCCGGGGAGCTCTGAGCTCAGTCTCTGCTGCAGMTGAACAATCCCAGTGCCCTCAGCTGCTCCTCGTGGGCCCCTCCAGAYCCTTCCCCATCCCTGTGTGCCSAGATGAAGAYGAGATGGGAACACYTGGACACCCYTRCTKAYCTCTGTCYCCCTCAACAYAAGGACACCTCCTTTGGCACGGCCTGAACGCTCTGATGTTCCAGCACAGCGCTTGGTTTCTCACCACATTCCAAATGACCACCAACCCAACCAGGCCATGAAGAGAAGGCTTTTTCTTTTCCTCCTAAAGATTTCCAGTTAAATTCTGCTTTCCACTGGCTGCCAGGGCAGAGTTCTGGATTTAACCTCGCGGAAGAATGAGGTTAAATCAAATTTTTTCTCAATTAAACTTCTCCCAGCAAGGCATTTTCCTTCCCCCAGCCTGCTCCAACATCCCCATCTCCCACAGCTCAGCCTGAGCTCTGTGGCTGGAGGAGCAGAGCCCACATGGGAGGAAAATGCAACTTCCTTACACATTTTCTGGGCTTCCCTGGCAGCAGGAAAAAGCAGCTTTTGGGTGTTTTGGTGCTGACTGGGTCTGTCTGTCTCTGTCACCGTGCACAGAGCCCAGAGAGGTGACATCCAGCCACACTCACATGGGAGCTGTCACAGAGGTTTTGTGTAGCTGGGCTCTGCCTGGGAATCAGTTCTTTACTGAGGTTGCTGCTGCCTGGTGCTGCTCAAGAGGTAAAAACTCCCTCAAACCCTTCCACCCAGGCAGGTGGGGAGGAATCATATTTAATCCCAGAATCAGAGCTGATCACCAAAATTTAATATCCCCACCCTGTTCTTGATGAGCTCAGGGCTCATTGGTGGCACAAGAGGGGGGAGCCCTCAAAGCACAGCAGGACTCATCCCCGCTGCCTGTCCAGGAGGAGAAACAGCAACAGGAGGGGATTCAGAGGAGATGGAAAAGCATCAACAAAGCAAAAATTCCTTCCTCTGCCTCCCCCCTCAGCTGCTGCCATGAACTCTGCACAAATTTGGGCAGGCACAGCCCAACCATGGCACGAGCAGGGCAGGACTCCTCCAAACGGATCCAAAAGAGCTTTTGTCAGAATATTTACTCCACAAGAAAAAACCCAAAACCATGAAACCAACTCCTCATCTGAGCCTTGCTGGCTGCTTAAAATCCTCCTGAAGCCATTCAGAAAATTGCCCTGTAATTCATCCCAACTCGCAGACATCCTACAAACCCTGCTGTTAATTCACTGCTTTGCTCCCCATCCCTGTTTTCTGTCTCTGGAATATTTTGAACTCTTTGAAGGCTCTGCTCCCTYCCCAGACCCTCCAGGCTGGAAATGCTCGAACAGATCCCGCTGCCAGTACCACCAGCAAACAACTCCTGCCTGTGGCTGGAAAGAAAACCCYACAATTCCTGGAGAATTAAATAAAATCCATATTAATGAATAAATGACTAATATTGGTATAAATAAAAAATATAATCAGAGGGAAAGGAAAATGTATTTTTAGTCAGGTTCTAATACGTTCTAATTAGGGTGCTCCTTAATGATTCAGGATTTTGTTACCATAACCTTTGAAATAACTGATTTAATGGAAATCCTGAAAGTTTTGCTCCAGTAAATAATGAATGGAAGCTGCCTACGGAAATGTAATAATTTAATGTTAAAAATAACCCCACATTATATGGTGGGTGTGAAATTCTGTGCTCTGCTCACAGATGAAAGGGAAATCGCTATTCAAATRCAACAAAACCTTTTCACTCCAATCCTATTTTCTGTTCATGAACTTGGAGTTCATAAACTCCCCACATTTCCATTTTCCACTCAGAGAACACAATGGAACATTTCACTTTGGATTGGCCCGCACAAAGCCAAATGTTTTATCTCTCTGGRATTGGATAAAACAATTTTCTCTCAGCTGAGCTCACCCTGGTGTTTAAATGAGCTTTGCAGTGACCCTGGAGTTGGTGCTGTGATGCTTCAGCACCTTTTTTTATCTTTCTGAGCTCCATCTCCCTCCTGAGAACCCCTGGGAGATGCTCTGAGCATTCCCATGGAGCTGGGGCATCACAGACACCAGAACCGAGGTGCAGAAAACACTTCCCACTGCCTTCCAAAATTATCCTTGAACTTGATTTTGGTTTTAAAAAACATAATTTCTTTACAATAAATAATATACATTTACATAATAATATATAAAATAAATATATTAATATATTGRTTCTTGTMATTTTTATCTCCTTTTCATAYATTTATAAACTTGAATTTTTAATTTGCAGCTTCACAGGGATAAAACTTATTGTTTCATAACATTTCTCCCAATATTTGCTAGAAACTCAAAGGTTTTCCATGGGATAAAACCCATCCTGGCTGTGCACCAGCCCCTGATCTCCAGAAACTTGCTGCTGAAATTTGAAATTAGAAATTGGAAATTAGAAGTTTGAAATTAGAAATTAGGAATTAGAAATTTGAAATCTCTTTCCATCAGTCACAGACACCAACTTCTCACGCCAACACAGGTCACTGAATGCCACACATTGGTTTTTTTCAACATTATCCCTCTCAGATTGAATTCCTACTTGCTGTTCCTGTACTTTTGGACAATTTGGTGTAGGGTGAGACATACCTGGTGTGAGCAGGAGGAAGAAGCTGGGATGGCAGAGAGGGACAGAGCTGAGCATCCCTGTGGGATTGGGGAGCTGCTGAGCACATTGACATGGGCTGGGAGCCCTTGTAGGGTCAGAAAAATCCCACAACCCCAGAATGGAATGGGATGGGTTGAGTTGGAAAGGATCTTAGAGCTCATCATGGGCAGGGACACCTCCCCTGTCCCAGGCTGCTCCCAGCCCCAATGTTCAGCCTGGCCTTGGGCACTGCCAGGGATCCAGGGGCAGCCACAGCTTCTCTGGGCACCCTGTGCCAGGGCCTGCCCACCCTCACAGGGAACAATTCCTTTACAATATCCCATCCATCCCTGCCCTCTGGCACTGGGAAGCCATTCCCTGTGTCCTGTCCCTCCATCCCTTGTCCCCAGTCCCTCTCAGCTCTCCTGGAGCCCCTTTAGGCCCTGCAAGGGGCTCTGAGCTCTCCATGGATCCTTCTCCTCTCCAGGTGAGCACCCCCAGCTCTCCCAGCTTCAGAGGGGCTCCAGCCCTGGAGCAGCTCCGTGGCCTCTCTGGACTCTCTTCCCATCCTTCTGCCCCAGGGCAGGGACAGCTCTGCAGGGGGTTCAGAGCATCACCCTAAAACCCAGCACAAAGCTGGCCCTTCCCTGCCATTCCCAGCAGGGGCCAACGGCCACAATTTCCCAAAATCCCCCCAAGGAGATTCCCAGAATCCCACCAAAATCCCCCAAGGAGCAGCAGCTTTGGGGTTTGCAGCCACCTGCACCTCATTCTGGGCACAAAGGGACACAAAGCTCAGCCAGGCCAAAGCTTCCCACTCTCAACATGGCTAAAAAGGTTTTCCTGCTTTCTGCTGGAGTTTTTCTTTCTAGAATGATTTTCCTCAGCCCCAACTCAGCACCCTCGTGCTGCTTCTTATTGTTCCACAAATCATTTAATAATCATTAAAATCCACATTCGACACACAATTTTTACTTAAAACAATAAAAAWACCAAAGTCGACCAAACTAAACAGAAGAAAAAGCTTCCTAYMCCAAATATCCCAACATRAAAMAGAAGGAAAAATCACACACARTCCACCCCTGGAATTGTCATTAAAATAGTAATAATTCACTATATTCTACTTTAAAACAATTTTCTGATTGTTTTCAGTGCATCCCATCCCAGCCCCAGAAACAGAAATGTGGGGCTTTGCTTTCTGCACACCCTGACCCTCAGAAAATGCCAGGAAATATTCCTGCTGCCTCAAGTTTTATTGCTGTTCATTTGATATTTCAGTTGGGAATTGTGATCAAATAATTGCATGCTCAGTAATGAACTACAGGGTGAGAGAGCTAAAAGCAAAACCAAAGAAAAGGGGAGTTAAAAGCCAGATGGCTGTGGCTTGACGGAGCAAAAAACCCCCTGGGGTTAAATGTGGGGGGCCATTAAATGGTCTTAAACCCCAGGGAAATTGTATTTTTTAAAATTATATTTTATTTAAATTGTATTTTATTTAAATTATATTTTATTTAAATTATATTTTATTGATTTCTATTTTATTTTAATTCTATTTTATTTTATTTCTATTTTATTTAAATTCTATTTGCTTTAATTATTTCTTTCCTCTGAAGTGCTGAAGCCCCGCTCTCCAAAAGATGTTCAGGCCAAAATCCCACCCTAAACTCCAAACTTTTGATAAAAACCAAGAGAAAATATCAAGGAATGGAGGCCCAGCCCCTTCTTTGCAGTCTGAGGAGATAAAGCAATGACCCAGACAGTGAATATACAAAACAAGTGATAAAAATCAAGAATAATTTGCTTTTTTGGATGGCAAATGACAAATTCATGCTGGAAGAAGATATTTGAGTTTTTCATTTCCTTCCTTGCTCTATCAGCCTGGCTGGGGCTGGGATGGTTGGGTGGGAATGAARGAGCTGGGCTGAGAAAGGAAACAAAAAAATTTATTTATTCCAGAAAAAAATATCAGTGGCAGGTGCAGGAGTTCAGCACTTGTGAGGAAAAAAAAAATCTCCATTTTATGGAACTATTTTTCCCTTTATTTAAGGGAAATATATTTTATTATTTAAGATTTTTCAGAATTTGCCTGGAGAACGTGGAATTTGTCATGTCCAAGCAAGGACTGACAGCTCTGGATCCTACTAAAAATCAACAATAAACAGCAAAACAAAGAAAAACGCAAGTTATGGGTTTGGATTTTATCGCCCCTCGCAATTTGAGGATTCAGCTGAAAATTCAACATCTACAACTCTTAAAACCACTGGAAAAATGCAGCACAAGTATTCCCTTGGCTGKGTGTCATCACCCAGGCACACATGAATTAATTGCCAAATTCAGTGTGTATTTTAGATAAATCTTAAATATTGAGATAATATCTAAATATTAAAGGAATAGAGCAGATCTGCATTTAATTCCCTCTCCTCAGCAAATGAAAAATGTATTTTCTACACACTGGAACTGTGTCACGAATTTGTTACAGCACCAAAGGCTGGAATTACCACCAGAAAATTACTCAACCTGATTTTAATTTTTTTTAAGGGAAATATCTCCTGTATTTTGCCTGAAACATCTTACTATTTAGAAATATTTTTTTTTTTTTAATAATCAAAGGACACAGGGAAAACCGAATTCCTTGTATCTCTAAAGATTTTGGGAGAAGTTTTGCTCTCTT